TGTCTCGTACCCCTTCCTATCTCAAAGCTCTCAGCACAATCTCCAGGCAAATGGCAAGCTAATAACTCATCGGGAGCATCCGGAATCGACTAGCACTTTTAAGTCTGCCTGTGTCCCCAATTTAGGGATTATGAGTTTGGCAGGCAGTGAGAAAGGTGGGACGTGTTGACTCACCATCGGGTCATTCTCTCCTTCATCATCGCTGACGAAAGAGGGTAGAGCGGGGGCGGGTCCAGCCTGAGTCCCAGCATCCTCCTGTGTGGGGGATGTGACCTGGCCAACAGGTTCATGTGTGATCCGGTTGGATTTCTCTGTCATTGGCTGCTGGGCAGGTTTCTTTCTCGCTGCTGGTCCCAGTCTGCTCTGCTGTTTGGGGTAGGGAACTGGGCAGTTCGCTGCTCGATGTCCCTGCTGTCCGCATCAGAAGCACTTGATTGGTGGGCCTGCAGGTGGCTTGGGTCTTTCAGCAGTCGCAGCAGTTGGAGTTTTTCGGGGGGGGGGTTTGTCATTGGGGTTGCTCTGGCCTCAGCTCAGCTTCAGATGGGGGAAACTTCTTATAGTGGGTGAGCTGGACATCTAGTCTTACCGCCGCCTGGTACCATTCTTGCAGCTGATCAGGTACCTCTCAATAGATGCAGGCTTGAGAGAGGTGAACGTCCAACCCTTCTCTGAAGTGATGGACTATGGACTGCTCAGGCCACCTCTCTATCCGACCGGCTAACTTGCGGAACTCTTGTACATACTCCAGGGCAGGTCTGTTGGCTTGTTTTATCTTATGGATTTGTTCTTCTGCTTTGAGGGCAATGGATGGGTCCTCAAATCTTTCTTTCAGTCCCAGGAGGAAGAGGTGGGGGTCCTCCAATTCAGGGGCTTGCTCATTATATAAATTGTTCAGCCATTCGGATGCCTCTGCCTCTAAGCTGGACGCAATCACATCGACCATAGCGCCTGGGTCCAGGTAGAGATAGGCACAGCGGTTCAAATGAGAGCGCACATGGTTGAGAAAAAAAAATCAGCTTCTCTGGGTTCCCATCGAAGGTTGCTCTGAAAGGTGGAGCAATCACTGGCTGCTGGGCCCCCCACTATGGCTGTTGCATCCCAAGCTGCTGCTGGTCCCACCTTGGCTGCTGATACAATAGCTGTTGGGCTCCCCACTGTGGCTGTTGCACCCCCAGTTGCTGCTGGCCCCACCCTGGCTGCTGCCATATTCCCAGGGGTTGCACGTTCAGGGGCTGCGGCCACACCCCTGCTATGGTTGCAATACTAGCAGTACTGGCCTCTCGAGTTTCGGAGGTCTCCCAAAGGTTGCTGTCTGGGTGGGGGCTGCTGTTGTCTTCTCTGCAGTTGGCCTGTGGGGGCTTGTGGTGCCCCCTGCTGCTGCTGCAGGCCCCTCAATGGTTGCTGGATGAGTGGGGGTTGTTGTTGGATCTCCCTCATTTGCGGGTACCCCAGCTGTTGCTCTCCTGGCTTCTGCACCACCCCAAGTTGTTGCAAGGCCTATATTAGCTGATGCAAGCTCAAAGGTTGCTGACCTTCCACCTGCGGGGGCTGCCAAATTCCCCATTGCTGCAGGGGGGCCAGGCTGGGGTTCCCTCTCTCTGTGGGGCTGGAGGCCTCTCTCAGCAGGAGTTGTTCTCCGCTTCTCACTTCTAGCTCCTCAAATTTTTCTGCCAAATATTCCACTGACCGACTACGAGCTGTGGACGGATATGTCCACTCACCCAAGTCCTCAGTGGCAGATGGCCTGACAGCTTTCCACCAGTCTGGGGAATGCGATATGCAGGAATCCCTTTGTCGTAGCTCCACCTCATCTGCTTTTGAAGCCCTTGAGGGTGGCACGGCCGTTTCGAAGCATCTGGAGTCTCCGCTGGGCTTGTCCCAATCTGACAACCAGATCAGCTCTCCTAGCTGCTTGTGTTTTTCTCCTAGCTGGGAGGCCTGCAAAAGCTCTTTCTCCACCGGCTTGTTTGCTATCGCTTCCCCCCCTGCTGCTGGGAAACTGGCTTCAGGCAATTTGTCTTCCTTCATGATAAAATCTTCCCTGAATCTTTGCCAGCTTATCCCCCAAGTCTAGGGATAGCAACTGGGGCTCAGGACCCTAAATAATTTGGAAAGTTTGGAGTTTTTGGCTTAGTGTCATGGTTCTGACAGATGAAACTCTTCAAAGAACTTCGAGGCATTGTTTACCTTAAAGAATCTTTATGGGAGTAGCATAGCTTTGGCACTAACATAGTTGAAGCCAAAAACTGGATTCCCCTCCCCTGAGCACATAGTATCAAAGCACAATTCCCTCCTTCAATTAACAGTCATAAATCACATTGTCCAATTAGTTTGAAATGCAGGCTTTCCCTCCTGTTCTGCTACCCGCCAATTCTTATCATCTCTTATTTCACACACTAGTACAATATTGTTATGTCTAACTAACTCCCGCCACATTCTGCCTCCTCTCCCAGCATCATCTAATTCTAAGAGTAAAGCACAGGAAAGAAAAAGGCTGCATCTTCATATGTTGTCAAAGCAAGAACATCCAATGTTAGCAGAGTTGAAATGTGCCTGCTTAGAGAACAGGTCAACAACAATCCATATTAGAGAGTTCCTGCCACTTTTTTGCTGCTCAACTATAAAGTCCATGGCTATCTCCTCCCTTGGCAGGGTTGAGTTGGCTACTGGCTGCAGCAATCCAGAGGGTTTCCCTGTCAAGCGCTTTATAGATGCACATACAGGGCAACTCAAAACATAGGATTCTATGTCCTTCTTCATCCTTGGCCACCAAAATTGCCTTTTTATAAGGTGTAGTGTCTTTATAAAGCCAAAGTGGCTTCACATCGTGACTCCTTTGTAGTACCATGGTTCTCTGGCTGGCTGGGACATACATTTTACCCCCCTTTCACGCTAAGCTTTGCTTCAGCATCAAGTCTCTCTTATGCTTTTGGAACCACTCATCCCCTCCCAGGGCTTCTCTTAGTCTCTGGATCATTGAGTCTCCTCCTGATCGAGGGGGTCCTGTGGCTGTCTCACATGTGCCAGTGCAGCAAGTTGCTTAGATGGGGTGATAGAGTTAACTATCTTTTCCCTAGTGCTCTTATATTGAGGCAGGCACAAGAGGCATCGATTTTCCCTCCCCGACAAATAACGTAAGGTGAAGTTGAACCAGTTGAAGTACTGAGCCCACCAGACCTGCTTAGGGGATAGTTTCCTTGTGGCCCTAAATGTTTCCAGCTTCTTGTGGTGGGTCCAAACTTTGAATGGGATTTTACTGCCCTCTAAGAACTGCCTCCTGGTGAGGAGGGCCTAGCAGACAGCATAAGTCTCCTCCCAGATGGCCCACCATCTCTCTGTGTCAGGCAGTTTCTGAGATGTATAGGCTTAAGGTTGAAGCTCTCTCCTTCCATTTCTCTGCATTAAAACAGCCCCCACAGTCATGTCACTAGTGTCTGCCTGGATCACGAATGGCTCCTCTGGGTTCGGGTGTCTCAAGATCGCCTCAGTGGCAAAGAATCTCTTTAGCTTTTCGAAAGCTGTTGGCATTCAATCGTCTAGTTCAGCGGTTCTCAACCTATGGGTCGCGACCCCATTTGGGGTCGATCAACCATTTCACGGGGGTCGCCAAGCAAGGCTGTCCGCCATTTTTTTCCCCTTTTCCAGCGAGTGCCTTACCTCCCTTGGGCTGGGCCAGCTGGTAGTCGGCCTGCTCCGTCTCTGCCGCTTGCCAGCTACGCCTTGGCCGGCGCAGGGGGCGGAACCACGCATGCGCGGCGCTCCCGGGCAGGGAAAGTCCTCGACCTACGACCGGTTGGGTAGTCCTCGACTTACGACCGGTTTAGTCCTCGACTTACGACTGGTTTAGTCCTTGACTTACGACCGGTTGGGGGTCACAGCATTAAAAAGGTTGAGAACCACTGGTCTAGTTCAAGGGTTGACTTGGTCTGGACTTTGTCCCCTTCTCCATTTTTACCAGGTTCGCGATGGGTAGGGCTATCTATGCTAACGTGGGAATGAATTGCCTATAGAAGTTCGCAAACCCCAGGAAACTCTGCAGTGGGGCCTCCCATTTTAAGATTGCCCTCATCTTTCCTGGGTCCATTTCTATGCAGTCTTCCACTCATCCCCTTTCCTAATCTGCTTCCCTCAAATCCAGCTTGGTGAAAATCTTCCCCTTGGACAAATAACCCAACATGTCCTTTGTACATGTTCTCCATGCAAATGGCATTTACCCCTTATAATCCATGCACATTCTTAGGGACCCGACTTTCTTTTCCCTGAAGAGCACAGGGGCTGCCACCCTCGATTTTGGCTGGTTGGATAAAGCCCCTTGTCTATGAATCCCCTAAGCTCCTCCATCTCCCTAGGCATCATGGAATACATCTTTGGCTTCGGCAGTTTAGACCCCAGTATAATTTCAATGGTGCAATCCATTGGACAGTGAGGTGGCAGCACATCCGACTCCATCTCACTGAACACCTCAGTGAGATTGCAGTATTCCCCTAGAATAAATGGTTCTAACCCCTCGGCCTCTGTTAGCGCATTAGCTGGTTCCATTTTCACCCCCTAACTGCAGGTTGTGGCTGGCACCCAGCGCTTTCCTCAGTTCCTGCTACTTAGATGCCCTTTCTTCTCACGCGCCACTTGCTATCGCCCCAGTCTACTGCCGGGTTCCACTTCTTCAGCCAGGCTAGCTCCAGGACCATAGCCTGTCATTCTGGTGGCTACAATAAAACGGATAGTCTCTACATGCTTCCCGATCCTTAGGCTCACTGGTTCTGTCAAGCAGGTTGCTAGTAAATCCCCCCCTCCGTAAGGGAACTGTCTAGCTGTTCAAATCCTTTAGTTTCCTGAGTCTCAAACCCAATTTTGCCACCATCGGCAAGCTGATTAGGCACTGGGTGCAACCAGAGACTAACAGGACTGTGAGAGTGTCTTTTGCTCCCAAGTAGGGCACCAGGATCTCTACCTGGGCAATCATCAGGGTGATGGTTCCACTTATCATCAGTTTGTCTTACCTTCGCTGTCTGTCTCCTAAAATACCAAGCCAGGCTTATCAGAGATCAGAGTTCTCTGGATGGGGGGAGACCTCCACAACCTGCTGCACAACCCGCATCTTCTCCTTTGGTTTCGCTGGTTTTTTTCCCCTTCACTGGGTTGGGTCTGCGATGCAGATGCTGGATGCAGAGCCGTACAATTGACCACTTGGTGACCTTCCTTCTCACATTGGAAGCAGGCTCCCAGGATTCAGCAGTGCTTCTTCCTGGGGCCTGGGAGGGTACCACCCTTCCCCCCTTGGGCTGCGTGGCATCTTTCAGCCATCCGACAGGCAGTGATCTGTCGGTACTCCCATCAGGTCTAGTTCCACATTAGTGGCCAGCTGGTAACACACCCTGAGGTCATTAGGTATGCCACAGGTTGGCAGTTGTGGTACGGCTCCTGTTTCAACCCAACCTGGAACTGGTAAACCAACAGAGGTTCAGGCCATTCTCTCAAGCAGGCCACCAAGCTGTGAAATTCTCAAATGTATTTTGCAACCAGCCATTCTTGTGCTGAATGGAGCGGATCCTGGCCTCTGCCTGGCGGGTTTCCATGGCATCCTTAAATCTGTACTGCAGCTCCTACATGAGGGCATTCACATTCATGAGCTCAGGGACCCCTTCATCATAGAGAGATGCCAACCACTCTGCAGTGTCCCCCTCCAGGTTCAAGGTGACAGCTCCCACAAAGGAAAGCATGTAGCCCAATGGCAGCCCCACCACTTGTGGGCTGCCTGCGCAGGGGCTCTTGTCGCCACAGGAGGTGGAGAGGCCTGCCCTAGCCAGTCAGAGGGAGGCTGCTGTTGCCCCTTGTTGTGTGGTCCCATCCTCCCGGTCACACTCGACACCATTGGCTGCTGAAAAGGGGAGGAGAGAGCAGCCAGCTGCTTGGCAACCCCCATCCTGGTTCGCTTTGTCACTGACCAGGGCAAGATGGAGCCCCAGACCTACAGACTGCTGAACTTCTCTCTGAGCTATTCCAGCGAGGGGCTGCAGGTTGCGAACAGAAACCTCCACTCTGCCAGCTCTTCCCACTCAGCTGCTCTCCTAACCTTCCATTTGTTTTCCCGGACCACCGTGACCCCAGGGGGAGGCAAGTGGGTACTCTGCCTCTGCTGCCTTCCTCACACCACTTGCTCACTGCCCCCTTGGCCCAGAGTAAGGGGCTCCCAACACCACCACTCCTCTGTGCACTGGTGATTGCTCCACTTTCTCAGCCCTCTGCTTGGGGCATGCGCAACTTGGCTGGTCCCAGGCCCTGCTTGGGCCACCATCGGCGTCCCTCAAAGGGGGGCTTCTCCCAGCTTCACCCCACCATCCGTTTTCTTGTTGGCTGCCAACATCCTGATATCACAGCTCTCCTGGTAGGCTGCAGTAAGTCAGAGATGGTTTAATGTCAGCTGTCCAGCTAGCAAATCCAAGAAAGAAACTCCTGGAACACTGTTCTTCCTGAAAGGTATTATTTTATTGAATACACTACATTGGCACAAAAGAAGCAAAACCAGCTCTGAATTTCTCACTGAAAAGTCCATATAATTAAACTTGAATTCCCCCTTTGGCCATTCCCTTCAGTCCATTGTATTGTCCAATCAACTATGCTCCTTTTGTTATGGGAACTGCCTGGATCGTTCAAACATCTGCATACTGTGACCTTGAAGGGGGGAGCAGGGCCTTACAATCTGCAGATGGACTCTGGGCATCCAATTCCCATCCCAAGCGATTCAACCGCCCCTCTCCCGATTGTTGTCAAGTTGAAAGAAACTAGGTGAAAAGTGATTCCCTCTTGACAGTAGGATTTTTGACATTTTTCTTTTGTAGTTTCAATATACACAGTCCCAACTTGCAGATTCTGTCCTTTCTTAGTTATTGCTTTACACGTTACATTTCCACTGGAGAATATCTTCCGCTGAAAGAATGGAATTTCACAGGCATGTACATTGACTTTTAGCCAAAAAACAATGTTAGCCCTATTTTAGGACACTAAACTCCCCTCCCCCGATAAATAAAAATAAACAGATCAAATGGATTGCCAGACACACCTTTTACCAGGCAATTGGTTTGCATTGTACATCTCTGCATCCATGAGATCTTCACAAGGCATCTATTTCCCAATTTAAAAAAATGCCTTCTTTAAAGTCTTAGAAGATTGTAAAAACACTAAAAACTAGCTACTTTTAGAAGGGCATCCAGAGTGGAAACATTGCTGACTCCTGCTATTGAGGATCAGATATTTACTTGCTATTTGTAATCCTGCAATTTTGCCTGTTTCTTCTATTTATTTTAATTAGAAAAATCAGTTAGAAAAGAAGAATAAAATAATTGCAGGGGGTAATTGGAATGATAAGCTCTAAGACGTTTATCAGCTCTGCCATCTTTGCTCTGTTCTGCTAAGCTGCTGGCATCATGCCATAAATGGGGGGGAGGGCACACAGCCATTTGGGGAAGAAGCGGAGGAAGTAGGAGGCAAAGGGGGGAGGGATTGGCACTGACAGAAATCAGACGTGTGAAAACCAGACTAATCCAAATGCCCAAGAACACTTGACCTGGGAAAGAATATGAAGCCGTTTCAAGACATGCCTGATATCAAAGTGGTTCCCAAAACATTGGACACTGATGGTCTGGCCAAAGGGAAAAACTTGTAACTTTGCATGGGAAATCTTATTTCTAGCTTGCTTTCACTGCAATCAGTAATCCTTAGTAAAAGAATCTATCATTTCAACCAAATGGACTTGAGGATCTTTCTTTCCTAGTGACCTAGCTGGGGCAGATCTGACACTTTGGACCTGAAGATCTTAAGAAATTCATATACCTATTTTTCTCCCACCTTTCATTTTCCTAGTCAGTTTCTCAACCAATCTAGAGCAGGGGTCCCCAACCCCTATTTGCAATTGGGCTGCGCAAAGAGAAGCCCGGTGCATATACAAACTGGCCTGCCATTTGTGTGAGTTGAGCTGCACACACATGCATGCCAGCCCGCCACTTGCATAGCCCGGTTTCCCTCTCCCCTCCCCCCAGCCAGGCTGCCAAGCCACAAAGGTTGGGGATCACTGAGCTAGAACCATAATCACAGCTAAATCCTATTTCTTACAAATGTTTAGAGATTCTTAATCATCCAGGTCATGGTTGTCCAAAAGGTGCTTTTTTCACGAGGCAACTGGACTTTCTTGTTTTTCTTGAAGATGTTTCGCTTCTCATCCAAGAAGCTTCTTCAGCTCCGACTGGATGGTGGGGAATAGCAGGATTTATACTCCTTGAAGACAGCTGGTCACTTGCATTCTTTTAGTGAGTCACTGAGGTCCCTGGAGGCTTATCTGTGTCGTCAGGGTCACCTAAGTAGTGCAAATGGGTATGGAGCCTTCTTGGAACTGTTGAAAGGACTGTGTTGTAGACCGGAGATAAATGATGTTGTATCCCTCTCCATTGAGAGAGGGCTGTTCAATTTTGACATAGATGGCCTCTTTGACCCCTCTTTCAAACCAGCAGCCCTCTCTGTCCAGAATGTGGATTTTGCTGTCTTCAAAAGAGTGGCCTTTGTCTTTCAAATGCAGATGGACTGCTCAATCTTGTCTGATGGGCTTGTTCTCTTATGTTGTGCCATGCATTTATAAAGTAGTTGTTTTGTTTCCCCAATGTACAGAACTGCACATGGCTCACTGTTTTGTAATGCGTATACCATGTTGCTCAGTTTGGGTCTGGATGTTTTATCCTTGGGGTGGACAAGCTTCTGCCTTAGCGTATTCTTGGGTTTGAAGTGTGCATGTATGTTGTGGTTTTTTATTATCCTGTTCTGTCTGCCAGATGGTAATAATTCAAACAAAGAAAGTCCGGAATGAGATGAGTCTTTAAGAATGTTTTGAGCTTTTCTAAGACTGCGGGAACTGTACAGTTCATTGGGGGGGGGAGGGCAGCCAATAGTCCTCTGGGCAATGGTAATGACCCTCTGGAGTGCTTTCCTATCTGCTACTGTGCAGTGAGCAAACCATGCATTAGGTTAGAATGCTCTCTATGGAGCAATGGTAGAAGGCCACCAGCAGTTTTTTATTCAGTTGTTGTTTCCTGAGAAGTCTCAAGAAATATAATCTCTGCTGAGCCTTCTTTAAACAAAGTAAATGCTGTTGTGTTTCGTGGTTAATCTCTATCACAATTCATGATCATTGGAGAAGAGAAACATCAGAGAATTCTGCATTTCTGGCAAATAATGAAAATTTCTAACTTATCCTTCACCTCTACACCGAGAACCCCTCCCATCATGTCCCAAACTGAATATTTTCCTGTCTATGCTTGAAGAAACAGTGTGTTTTTAAAACAATATGTATTTATCATCAAGTTTTTTGTCCTTGGTTCAAAAAACTAAAGTTTATGATTGAAAGATGTGGTTTCCTTGGTCATTTGTAATCTGCTACACATTCCCACCTTTTTTCCTGGTTAGATATCAATGAGGACATTCATAAATAATCTCAAATTATCTCAATCAATTCTTAAGTGACAGTCTTACAATTTAAGAAGTAATGCATCCTCAGGCAGCAAAAACTACAAATAAACTGAAATAAAGTAAGTTAAGATTTATTCCTAAAGACTATGATAGTTAATTCAATCATGTTAATTATTTTAGGAACAGATTCCATCTAGCCATCTGCAAATTGCAATTATAGATTATATGACGTAGTCATACTTAAGGTGTGTGTGGCATTAGTTAAAAATGTGAGAATCTCATAAAACTGAGAGCAGTAATTAAGAAACCAGGGGGAAACTGGCGTACCAGGAATACCAAATACAAGCATGCAGGTAGGCATGCAAAAGTGGGGCTCTCCTGAATAATCTACTAAAAAGCCTTTAAAAAAAACCCTTAAATAGCAACAGAATTGCACCCACAGGAAAAAAAAGTGAATGAAGGAAAAGACTAGACTTGGAGAAAAGAGAAAACTTAGAATTCAAACATTTATTTGGATGCAAAGTTTATTTGGTGATTTCTGCTGAGTTCTGTCTACAGCTTCC